ACCAGCTGTTATTAAAGTTTTTATTCTGTGTACTATTGAATACTATTTTTATGTTATTATTATTATTGTTGCATTGGGTCTCACAAGGTTTTTTGATTTTTGATATTCCCAGACCCCATCAAAAAAGAAGATTGAGATATCGACAGTCGCTAGTAATTGAAATGAACCCAAGGTGATCCTTTTTGATGTAATATTATTTGCATTCAATTTTCAATAATTGCCAAATAGATCCGGCCATTTCATCCTTTGTTTTCTTTTCCTTTTCCCTGTCTCTTTCTCTCTCTCTCTCTCTCTCTTCCTCTCTCTCTCTTTTCCTCTAGTGATGCCGGTATTCATGATCATGTTGTCATTATGGGGTTACTGAAAGAAGTAGCTCAATCACACTCACTGGACACTAGCCACAAAGACTTTAAAGGTCAGTAAACTTGCTATAGCAGTTTGTAACTCCAATTTTGATCAGAATCAGCTCAAACTATCCAAAAAATATAAGTATATGCTTATGTACCAGAAAAAATTATAAAAATATAGAATTTTATCCTTTTTAATTTTGGCAAAGTTTGGCCCGAGGTCATGTACTATGTACAGGGTTTTTGTCTGATTTTTGAGCAACTTTAAAAATTCGTAAATGATTCAATTTTGATTGGAATCAGCTCAAACTTTTTACGCAACATAAGAACATGTATATGTATTAGGAAAAATTATAAAATTGGAGAATTCTCAACTTTTCAATTTTGTCAAAATTTGGCCAAAGTCTCTGTACTAAAAAATTTTAAAAAACAAGATGAAGTAGGATTCCGAACGACCAATGAAAATATGAAATGAAAATCCTACTCATGACGCAAATTCTACTCTACATTGTACTTTTAATGTTATTATGTAAGAATTACGGATCACCTTGCAATGTAGAGTAGAATTTGCATCACGAGTAGGATTTTAATTTCATATTTTCGTTGGTCGTTGGGAATCCTACTTAACCTTGTTTTTTAAATTTTTTTATGTTTAGTACATGGTCCCGAGCCAAATTTTGGAACAACTTTAAAAAATTCATAAAAAATCCAAATGTGATTGGAATCAGTTCAAACTTCCTATACTACATAAGTACATGTATATGTATCACACAAAATTATAAAAATGGAAAATCTCAACTTTTCAAATTTGGCAAAATTTGGCCCGGGACCATGTACTA